CCTTCAGCCCCATCTTTTTCACTTTTTACAATTAAACCGCTAAATTCAAGCTGCAAAGAAAATGAAAAGGAGATATTATCATATAGATGAAATATGGAAAATATATACAAAAGAAAACTATGTTGCTAATAACAGAAACAAATATATTTATACCAGCAAAATAAAGGCTGGTTGAGAATGAATAAGGATTAAAAAATGTTGATGGGTGAGTAGGGGCCAAGAGATTGAATAAAAGAAATAATAGAGTTAAAATACTAGAATTATTATTTATTTATTTTTGGTTATTTTACCTTTAAGGATTTAAACTATGCAGGTTTGGATTATGGGATGTATAGTCAGGTGAGGTGGACCAACGCATGGACTTGTACCGTTTAGGAAGGCTTATTTGCTCAGCGTTCTGGGTAAGGTGGACAAGATCCGTTGGGTCTGGGGTTATTAGGAAGCGGACTGAACAACTTTTAATTGAGAATTTTATTAATAAAACCACTGGTTCCATGTATAAGACACAGAACCAACCTGTTGCAATTCGATTATGTATTTCGACAAAATGCAGTCGCCAAGGCTACTGGACAGTACCAAATGAGTTTCACAATCACTAATTAATTCACATTCTCGAAGCCTTAGCCACTATTAAGTAAATTGTATGATGCTTTTACTGGAGAAGTGGGAAAAGAGAAAACAAAGAGTTAACACTGCATTGTTTTAATACAAAATATATTAAGTTGATTAAAGCAGAAAATCTCCATTGTCAGAACTTGGTTTCAACTGAAGGTCCTACATATTAGCTAGACACAGCTTGAAGATTACCCAAAAATAGGTAAGTCAAATTTTCATCAGTCTCTTGCTTGCTATAACAAATTTTAGAGGAAGTATAAAATCTCTTCAAAATTTTATGATTTGTTCAAAGGCTCATGAAATTAAGTTGCATATTTACATAGCAATATAACACAAAAGTTTATACACCTTCCGTGAAGAAAAGTTTTGGGCTAATTACTTAACATATCAACATGGCAGAAAAATCTAACACTAAGGCGGAGCCACATTGTTCCGGGTATTTCACCTATTACACTTGAGGGGCGGCCAGTTTTTAAGGCAAGGAGAAAACCATAAACAATCGCATCAAGACTTCAAGAGAAATATTTCCGAAAAAAATCACTGCTGATAGAAGAAGATTAGCATCAAGAAACAACAATTATGGAAAAATAAATAGATTATATGGAGTTGAGTTGAATTTAAATCATTCACAACAATCTGCGATTTCAACATACCAATGAAATTCGATAATACCTTCCGATTTCGTTGATGACGAAGCAGGGTAGTAATCACAGTAACACGAGATAAATTGGTGCCAATGGGAGATGAATGTGTCCTTTTTTCCCTCTCCCAAATTTTTTGCTTAAAACCGAGGAGGAGAACCTTAAACCCCTTGTCTCACTTTCTTTATGAATAAGACAGGAATGGGTTATAGCTGGATATGGGCGCCTTTTAATTGGGCTTTACAAGTTTTTTCCCCATTCTAGTCCAGTTTTCAGATGGGCCTCAATCAAGTAAATAATAAATAATATTATTTATTAATATAACACCAGATTAATTGTCAAAATATGATAGATCCTAATAAATGAGTCAAAAAAATTTGTATTTAATCGAACATATAATTTAATGAACAAGTGATGCCACTTAAATCGATATTAAGCATCAGTGATGTTGAATAACATTACTCATTAAAAAAAATGGATAAATTATACAAATACTTTCAAAGGTAGGACTTTCTCATAAATTATTGCGAAAGGGTTTACAATTAACAAACCGTATTTACAATTAACAAACCGTATTCATAATTTTTTTAAAAATTTCATTCTCCAATTGCTTTACGAGTTCAATTTTTCAAGTAAAACACCAACAAAATTTACTATGCAAAATATGTTGCAATTTTATTACGAATTAAAAATTTTTGTTTCTATTATTTTTATGAAAGTTCAATTTTCGATTTATACTGGCAAGTTAGTATATAAAAATTTAATTTTTGGGTCAATTAGAGGAATGTATACAAAGTATTAGTGAAAATGTAAATATAAATATAAATTAAGGGCTTGTCTTGAAAAGTAATATGCTTTGTCATTTTTTTTTTAAAATCCCACACTATCTAATTTTAATTTTATTTATTTATCTAATTTTTTTGATTCGGTAAAAGAATGAATACAGCTTGGGGTTAAATCAACCAATGGCTACTCAACTTTATACTTAAGGTCCGTTTGATTACAATTATGAAATTTGGGTGGAAAGAAAAACGAATTTCGGGAAATTAAATTGCATAGAACTTGTTTTTCTGGGAATTGTCAATTAATGACTTTTTGATTGATATAATTTTTCACCTGAAAATATTGAAATTTTCTATCTTTTGATATTCGTTTCACTTTTTTCATGAAAATTGTTAATTAAAGGGATAAAATTTATTACAATTGTGGATATAATTTGCTCCAATTGCCAATATAAAAAAAAAAAAAAAAAAACTTAAAAAATAATTTTCACTAAAACTAAAGGAAAATAA